AGGAATCAGCAGTCTGTATACAAATAAGCAAGATCTGTAAAACAGATGCACATGCAAAACTCAGGTCCTGGAACAAAGCCGAAGTCCAGAAATGGACCAACAACCAAGTCTTTGCGCCAGAATTTACAGCCAGTGATCGCAAAGAACAACAGTAATGTAACACAGTGGCCATGGCAACACCGTGATGCTAAGATTAGATAGGTTAAACATCACCTTCCTCAGCACTTCAAGCCTGTGAGGTTTAACTGCTGTAGAAATCACCAATCTCCATTCATCTCTATGACTGGCCTTCTCTTTCCAATTGGTGACTCCAAGTGTTTGTAGGTCTGCATGTGAGCTATTGCCCCACTGCTTTCTTGGTCTTCCTTGGGTATACACCCATTCAACTCACTTTCTTGTTGTTTTTTGTGGTAGGTAGTTTCTGTATCTCTGTTATTTGCCATTTTCTCTATATTAGATGGATTAGCTAATGCCACTCCTCTGGGAAGTGAGCTACTATATGACAAATCAGGTTTGCATGTGTGTTATTGCTCCACCTTGGGTTTACTCCCATTCAACTCGCTTTTGTGTGTGTGCGGTAGGTAGTTTCTGTATCTCTGTTATTTGCCATTCTCTCTATATTAGATGGATTAGCTACTGCCATTCCTCTGGGCAGGCAGCTTCTTTATGACAAATCTGACATGGTGAAGGCTATCTGGGATCAAACAGACAATGCAATGGAACAGAAAGACAATCCATATATTGGAATACTAATTGAACGGACTTCCCATTCCGACAATGATAGGGAATGGATGATGGTTGATAACTTGGCTTATGTTAACCGTTTTTGTCACCGTTTCTCCTCCAGCTTTGATGTTGCAAGATTGTGGAAGTCCGGTTTGCAGCTGGAGCTACTGAGTTAAGTGCTCCTGACAGCACTATAAGCTTTGATTATCCGTTATTGACTGGGTTCCAGATTTGTACATAATGGCAATGATGGGTGATGTATTTTTCTTCGTTGTGTTCCTGGGACAAGGCGTAGGCAATAGCTGCTATTTATTTGTTGGACATGGCTGCAACTTGGCCGAGGACATGTGGAGAATGGTCAGAAATAGTTTTAATCTACTCATCGCCCAGCTTTTCGTCGAATGAAGTTGATTTTCAGCGATAACGTCTGGTCTCGCAGTGTGTTTAAGGAGGCATGCACCTTATGGTTTGCCAGATCAAATCATGTGTGTTTTGCTGACTGAGGACACTATGTATGGCTACGGCATTCACTTGAAGTATCCAGCGTATCTGATTCAGCAATTATGGGCCACGCTCGTTTGCTGTGATGCTGGAACCGTAATAACTAACTAACTAACTCATTTAACGGGAAAGGGGGGTGGGAGTAGGGGTTCTGGGAAATATTCAACACTGAAGGGGAAACATAGGCACACGTTTAATCAAGTTGCAACTCATACTACTAGTATGTCAACTCTTTCTTGGCTACTGAAGAAGGGGATGCAGCATATGTGGAAATATCCCCAGTGATGTCAATTCTTGTTTCACTGATTGATTCATTTTCTCTATACGTCCCAATTGTTGCAGTCTATGAGGGCCAGTATTTAGTGGTGATATAAACAGATAGATTAAAAAAAAAAAATATTGTATCAGTAAATGTAAGACTACACAAATTTCAAGATACAAGAAATAGAAAATACTATCTAACAATAATGCCATACAGTTATGCTAAGATTTGACATAACTGAATTTCTTCCTCTTTCTTCAATAGTGAATGACTCTTGTGATAATGATTATGGCTAAGTACACACCCCTTTGTGGATGATGCCACAACTGGCTGTAGCATTCAATGGCTATTTAAATGTGTATGTATGTATGTAAATTGTACCCCACCAGGACATCACACAACGCGATAAATACCCGATGATACAAAGTGCCACCATGCGGATGAGGATCACCTGTGGAGAGGTCCCAAAAACCTCTATATTCAGGGCCTCTGGCCAAAAGCCAGGGTGGGGTTTGAAATAAAAAAAAATCGCATCCACATGGGGATGATTGTATTTAAATATGTTGGCATTCAATGATATAACAATCACATGTCAATAAGTCAAAATAGCACAAAAATTTACATTATAGTACAAACTGGGATTGTTCTTCTTCTTTTCGTTCAACTGAGTGACGTAATTGCGTTGTGCCTACTGACAGCACAGCTGCAATATTTGGGCCTTTTGGTCAACGCATCCAACTTCATCTGGCATTTCCTTACCAGGTTAGCCTTTCCAGAAATCTGGATTCAAGGATCAGACAATCATTTATCTTCTTCTTCTGCCTTGTATCCCCCAGTGGAGCATAGGTCCTCAACCAATTCATGTCAAGTCGTACTATCCTTCGATATAGCAGGCAGCTCACCCTATGACCTCCCCATCTTTTTTACTTCATTCTCTAGCTCCCTTCTCCAAGTATTCTTTGGTCTGCCTTTATTTCTACGCCCCTGCTGGTTCCAGTGCAAAGATATTCTAATTATATTGTTCTCAGGTTTTCTCAGTGTGTGTCTTATTCATGGCCAGTTTCTTTTCTTCACCTCAGTTTATAAGTAAATCAAAAAGCCAGTTGAGATGCAGACGTGCTGAACCATAGGTAGTGCTGCACCAGGACCAAGGCTCAGCTAGGCCAAGACCTATCTTACCTGTGTTTACAGTCATCCTAAAGACAGGTTCCAGGCCTAGCTAATGTAGACAGGATCAACATTTCCTTTGAAGTTCCCCATGTGGGGTGGGGGGGGGGGGGTGGGTGCAAGAACAGACACATTGCCTTCCCCCCTCTAACAAGCATACTGGAAGAGTCGACTAATAGGGGAGTTTCCTTTGAAGTTGGAGTGCATATGCCTGAGAGTCAAGGAACCAAAAGTATGCACACAAACAAGTCAGATCTGTAAAACAGATGTGCATGCAACACTCAAGTTCTAAAACAGGATTAAAGTCCATAAGTAGATGAACAAACAGAACTTTCTGCCTGCAGTTTACAGCTGGTGAAATAAAGAAGAAGATATCCTCTGAAGTCAGAGAACATCTGCCTAAGAGGCAAGAAACCGATAGTCCACACACAAATAAGTCAGATCTGTAAAATGGATGTTTAAGCAACACAAGTCTTAAACAAGAACAAAGTCTAGAAATGTAAACGACAACCAAGAACTTCTGTCGGACTTTACAGCTGGTGAAGGCGAAGAGGAAAAAGAAACAGCCAGCTCATAGAGACAGAACAAATCTACATCCGCCGCTCTGTATATAACTTGTTACCTAATCACTGGTAGCACAAAAAGGCAAACCTGCATTCAAGGATAGTCAATCACAGGTTGCTCAAAACAGCTACTCCTTTAGACCCAAGGGGTTTAGCATCAGAGACCCAAAGGGTAGTAGAGATAGATGTAAAATCGGTGCATCTTGTGTTTACTGGACTTCTAAGTAGGAACCTATAAAGTGTTCCTTGGGACTGAAAGAGTTAATACACAGAAATAATTTGCATCTACTGCTCTGGGTATAACTTGTTACCTAGTCAGTAGTAATACAAAAAAAAAAAAAAGGACAAATCCGCATTCAAGGATCGTCAATCACAGGTCACTCAAAACAGCCAGTTAATACACAGTACAAGTCTGTATTAAACGATATTATCATTAATCAGCAGACTCTTAACAGAATGTGGCTGTTGTCACAGCACACGCCTAAAAAATCTCTCTCTCTCTCTCTAGCCAATTCTCCAGCTCTATGTGCTGTCACAGCCGATAGAGCTTCAATGCCTTCTATTCACTTCTGCAAAGGTCTGCCTCTGCCTAGATTTGCCAGAAGATGTAAGCTCCATCATCGCTCTCTCTTCAGGCCACCAGGATGTTTAGCATGGGCAAAATACCTCAGCTTTCAGGATAGGATGCTGTTTATTAGCCAATTCTTCTGGATGCTCATGCAGGATATCTTGTTTGTCTTCTTCTTAGTCCATAGCATTCTAAGAATCTTTCTAGAGTATTTAATTTCAAAAGCTTCAATTTATCCAAAGATAAGTAGCCCATATTTCACTCAATCCTATCAACCAAGTTAATTTAAATAAGAAATTCTTATTCAAAGATGAGTATGTCACAAAGTCCAAACAATCAGTTAATCTGATGTACAAATCTGCATTTAAAGCTCAGGAAGGTACTCATCAAAACAGTCAGTGAATCACCATCACTCATCAAAACAGTCAATGAATCACCATTAGTGCTGCTGAATCACATGAGATAGTCTTCTTCCTCTTCAAATCTTCTGTCAGGAAAGTTAATTCAGGAGGCCAGTAGCCTATATGAAAGCTATTTTGCAGTCCATATCCCCTCATGTACCATACAGTTTTGTCTTCATTATGGTTGGAGCAGGCCAGATTAGGTCTCTGCTGACAGCATACAGTTGACATGCTTAACATATTTCGGGTGCCACACTACAGGGACACATCTCTATGTTTCCTACATAGAAAAGTTTGAAAATATGATGACGAAGGCTGTTGTGCCCAGTCCTTAGTCTGAATATAATACATTGTCCCTCTCTAGAGAGGCAATGAAGCGAGTCTTGAGGAGAGAATTTCAACATGAGATAGTGATACAGAGTTTAATCCGGTACAATCATTGAAACTTCCCTCAGGTACAGTTATACAAGAGTTCATTCCAGTGCATTATACAGGAGTTCATGCTGGTACAGTTATACAAGAGTGACTCTGGTAGTTAAACAAGTGTCGACTCCAGGACAGTTATACAAAAGTCCACTGCCGGTAGTTAAACAAGAGTCCATTTTAGTAGCTAAACAGGAGTTCAATCCAGTATACCAGAGTTCACTCTGGTAACTATACAAAAGTTAACTCTGGTACAGTTGTACAAAAATTCCCTCTGGCACAGTTTTACAAGAGCTCGCTAAGTACACAATGCTGCTTATTAACAACACTAGACCAGTCAGCACACAGTCTTTCTGTCAACAGGGAAAGTGGTAACTGAGGTAGAGGCTCTATAGCTTGGATGAAGGTGATACACAAAACCAGGATCTTGGAATAACAAAGTCCAATAAGCTTTCCTGGAAGATTAAACAAAACAGTTATAAAACAATGCTTTCCTATTGTGGATTTAAATAAGAAAAGGTACAAACAATATACTGCACAGTTTTTGTGTGTGTTTTGCTAGGCATATTTTATTGAATCTCACGTGAACCTCTTCTTCTTCTTTTCAAGTATTTACCAGCGAGGTGTTGGGGGAGATGTAAGAATTCTTTGTGTGCTTTTTTCCAATGCATTGTACAAGCTGGTGTTGATTTCTGTCCACTTCTGGGCTTTGGTCTTGTTTCAAAACTTGAGTTTTGCGTGCACATTCATTTTACAATCTGGATTTTTGGATGCAGACTGTAGGTACTCTGCCTCTCAGGCAGATGCACTACAACGTTGAAAGAAAGACCCTAATTAGTTGATTTTTATGACAAGCTTTTAAAGAGTCTCTATTCTTTTGCCTAAAAACGGGACCCGGAACCCACACAGGGAGAACTTAAATTAACATATAATGAAATATTTCAGAAAAAAAAAAAACAGTCATCAGTCATAATTTAAAAAAATTTTTCCTTCTTCTTCCATACTGGCTGTTTAAAGAGTGATGTTTGCAAGATATGCTGTTGCTTACAGCTAGGCTGTTGCTGTATTTGTCTTTCAAACCAACACATCTGATTTCAGCAAATTCCTTATTAGTCACTGTTTTTTTGACATGCCCGATTGGGGAAAGGGGGTGGGGGGTTGTTAGGGGCAGTGAGTTATCCACCTTTCCACTTGGTAGTAAATGTTAAAATACCTAACATATAATTTATGTATGGCAACCCCACCCTTATCTCTTTCAGTCTCAAGTACTTTTTAATTCAGCAATGTCTGTTTTATAGCATTTGTATTTTACCACATCACTTTTTAGTCTAACAGAACCACCTTTAGACAGAAGCCACTACAGTAGCAACCAAAACATAAGCGATTAAGATAGCAGGAGACCTAGACAGTGACAGCAAAAATGATAACAATTTAAAGACTAAAAAAAAATGTAGTGAGTTCCTTGGTACTGAAAACATAGTAAAGTTAAACCTTTTATAACGATCAAAATAAAACAGTGTGGCACATACCATGCTGGCGATGCAGTTCTGCCTGGCATAGAACTCCATACTGTAGAGACACATCAGCATACCGTTACCAATAAATAGTGCCACCCACATAAAAACATTCCAGCTGCGGTTCGAGCCCTTGTCGGTCAGAAAAATGAAACCAACTGAAACAGATAAAACATTGGCATGAAAGCACCATGAAGAAAAAATATTTATCAAAATAAGAATTCAATCTAAAATTCCCCATGTGGGTTCCGGGGAAAACAAGAATAGACCCACTGCCTTCCCAACAAGCATGTCGAAGGGTTAACTAACTGGAGACTTCTTTCAAAGTCGGAGTGCATCTGCTCAAGAGGCAAGGAATCAACAGTGTGCATACAGTTGAGTCAGATCTGTTAAACAGATGTGCACCCAATACTCAGGTTCTGAAACAAGACTAAAGTCCACAGGTGGACAAACAACCAAAGCTTTTCTCCAGAGTTTACATCCAGTGAATGCAAAGAAGAAGAAAAAGAGAACTAAAACAGTCAGCTATACATATCACAATCGCCAACAGCAAATGAAAAATTCGACCAAAGTCTTTATCAATGTCTAATAAAAAAACAATTAGTGACAAGAAAACTCAACAGACAAGACAACAGAGCTTGTCAGCAGCCCTGAAGTGACAATAATTGTCCGACACCAGAACTGTGGTGCCCGGTCTGATGCCAGTCTTGTTACATGGCCAAACCATTTGATCTGTTGTCTACCTATAAAGTTCCGTTTTGGTTTTGTGCCGACTCTCCTCCTGATATCATTGTCTCTCAGTTGATCTTTATTCGTTACAGCTAGCACAGTATGTAAACATTTCATTTCTGTCGTGACTATTTTCCTTCTGTCTTTTAAAGACAGTGTCTATGTTTGACATTGATAGCATCATCATCAATCAGCAAGTCCTTTATCGAACGTCGCTCTCTTCATGGCACACCTGAAAGTATCCCTTTCCCTGGCCAGCCCAACGTGCTTTCAATGCCAATGCATCTACAACGTCCTGTCCCGTCTTTGCGGAGGTTGACCCGGCCTGCACCCTCCAAGCCACCATGCCTATGGTGATGTTAGTTGATCCTGTGTGGTGTTGCTAGTCCTGTCTCTCCATAGCCTTCTGTCTCAAGTACCTTCAATCAATTCTGACACAGATGATCTTCCATGCCATAATGCCAATCTGTCAAGTCTCTTCTTTCTCCGTCTCCCTTTTCACCCGTTAAACTTTCCTACAGTCAAAATGTACTCTAGTTTTCTCCTTCTTAAGACATGACTAACAAAATGTAATCTTCTTCTGATGTGGGCACTCAGGTCTCTTTGTGAGTCAGTTTCTTTTAAGATATCTAAACAAATCTTTGTTTGTTTAAATCTCTCATCTCCACAGGCATGCAACCACATGTTTTATGTGCATTAACCAATGTTATGATAAAAAGTATAATATATAATGGCTATGTGGAAAACTTACATCCAGCCCCAGCAAACATGACAAACAGCACTGGATAGAAAAACTTGAATGTGCAGGTTAGAATGTACTCATGGAAAACAGCAGAGATTATGAACACACAGGCCATGGCTCCAGCACGGTATTTATGTCCAACCAACTTTAGGAAAAAATGAGTATAATTGAACACAAACTGGCTTCAACAAACACATTTAAAGATAAATGTCCTTGCACAGAGCATATTTAAGAGATGTGACACAGTTTATTTAAGCATTAATTACTTTCATAATTCAGTATGATCCATCATATGTTTTACTGGACACCCAAAATCCACTCATCTAGACTGTTATCTTAACAAGGATTTATATTTTGGGGTAGAGGTTATATTATATTTTCGGGTCAGGTCTGAGGAGCAACTGGCCGAACTGTTAGAATGCTGGGCTCTCACGCGGAAGACCCAGGTTCAAACCCTTGGAAAGGCTGGAGATTTTTTTCTGTCAGGGGCAAAATAAAATCCTCACCTGCACAGTCGTGGCAACAGCACTAGCCATGCAGCCATAAATCGCCAGGCTCAAAGACCTGCATGCCTACACCGCAAAAGTGGTATACCAAAGGCAGTAATTCAGGTCAGGTCTTAATTTTAGGGAAACATAGTACCTACACACATATTTTTCCTAACTTTGCAGGCTGAACAGGCCTGATGGCCACTAATTCAACAAGTCAACAGAGCAGGCCATTTGCAGAGAATTACGTAATCTCATCACGGTCTTCCTGAAAGAAACTCAAGTCTCTCGCCAGCTCTCCCACTTCGTGCACTTTCCTACCCAAAGTGTCTCTTATATGCTGTGCCCATCTTCATGCTGGCTGGCCCCGCCTCTCTTTCCTAGTACCATGCTTTGTGTTATTATTTTTGTTTCAGTCTACTGTTATGGCCAAAATATTCTGAGACATGATGCTGTTTACTTTCTTGTTTTTAGGATGTCAGTATTTCTTTTCTTCATTGTCCACAGTATTCTGGCTCCCATGTTTGCCCAACCTAACATGGGTAAGAGGAAATGTCTCGAAGACTAAAACTGGCCAGCATAATGTTAACCACATCAACAACATACTGAAGACTGGTCTATAAAAATGAAATAAGCCCCCTAGATGTGTAATGCGACAATGACATGAAAAGGGTTCTTATACCTCTTTTTCTGAGTTCACCTGAAGACGTAAATGCGTTGTGTTAGTTTACAACATGGCTGCAATATTAGCGCCTTTTCGCCAACACATCTGACTTCTGCAGGCATTTTTTGCCTGTGCTAGCTTTCCCATGTGTTCTTATAAAATGCTAATACTGACAACTTAGGGAATACACAAATAAATAATAAGTTCAATGGTGAGAAAGATAAGATAGGATACAGATATACTGAGTTTTGTATACAGACATGTATGTGTGTAAATTGTACCCCACCAGGACATCACACAAAGCGATAAACACCCGGTTACACAAAGTGCCACTATGCTGATGAGGATTACCCGTGGAGAGGTCCTAGAAATCCTGTTCAGCTGTTAGGCTATATTTATGACCTGGCTATATTTAGGGCCCCCAGCAAAAGCCAGGGTGGGGCTTCAAATAACGAAAAATTGTTTCCCACATAAGGACGACTATAACTATTTTGATACAGACATGAATAAGAAAAGGTCCTTAGACAATGTTAATACTGAAAATTAGGGGAATACAAAATATGAATAATAAGTTCAATGGAGACAAAGAAAAGACACACAAGGATACAAATAAATGTTTGAACTAAAGTATTTATGAATAAACAAAATACAGGCAGAAAGAACTTGGAGGGAGCTACAGTAGATGGCAAAAGATAAGAGGGTTTAGTGTTAAGTGGGTTGAAGGCTATGCTCCAAGGGACTGTCTGTTCGCTACCTGATTTGACCACTCTGTTGACTTCAAGAATCACATCCTGGATGGCAATCCAAAGATTAAAACCTAGATACTCTCATCAATTTCAAAAATGACCTTGGCTCCCAGGTCGACCCAGCCTTGAGTGGGTACCGGGTGCAGTTCCGGGAAAGTAAAGGCGGCCGGCGTGATGCTGACCACATCACCCATCTTGTGCCGATTGGTCTATAAAAATATAGGTCTAGCCCTATATGCCCTATACGCCTAAAGGCGTGGAAAAGGGTCCTTTACTTTTTTTTTTTTAACTCTCATCAACCATACTGGAGGGAAAGGTCGAAGGCAAGAGAGCAAGAGATGGGCAAGTAGTGATAAAAGTGGGAGCACAACATCAAGAGATGGATGGGCAGTAGTCTGAGAAAATGTACAACCAGGACAAGAGACAAAACATGTTGGAGATCCATTGCAGCCAACGTTTACTGTGGAGACGGCACTCGATTGATGATCATCAACCTCGAAGAAAGT